CCATGTTGCCCAAGCTGCTCTCAGACTCCTGACCTCAAGTGATCCGCCCGTGTCAGCCTCCCAAAGTGTTGAGATTACAGGTGTGAGCCACTGCTCCCGCCCGGCCTCTTTTATAGGGTGTTAATCCCTGTAAACACTCCATCCTCAAGACCTAATCCCCTCCCACGGGCCCCACCTCTGAACAGCCTCACATTGGGCATTTGGTTCAATATATGAATTGGTGGTTGACATGAAATATTAAGTCAAAAGCAGACCGTTAGCTCGTTGTGGGGCAGACCGATGTTTAGGCCTTCCCAGACCACCCTAAGTCCACCAGTCACCATCTCCACGGTGCTGGAGAGAGCAAATGACTCTCCATGGCTGGTCTCCTTCCGTCCTGTGGGAGAAGGCTGGGCCCTGCATTGGCTGCCCACCCCGGCCCTCCCTCTGTCACAGTGGCATTTGCAGGAAGAGGCGGGGCTGGCCTTTCTTAGAAAGAGCCTGTGTCCAAGATCAGGCACAGTGGCTCACGCCTGTAATCCCCACATGCTGGGAGGCCGAGGTGGGTGGATCACTTGAGGACAGGAGTTCGAGGACCAGCCTGGCCAACATGGCAAAACCCCATCTCTATTAAAAATACAAAAAGAAGCCAGGCCTGGTGGCAAGCGCCTGTAATCCTGCCTGTAATCCCAGCTACTCGGGAGGTTACGGCAGGAGAATCACTTGAACCCAGGAGACAGAGGTTGCAGTGAGCTGAGATTGTACCACTGCACTCTAGCCTAGATGACAGAGCGAGACTCTGTCTCAAAAAAATAAAAATAAAAAAGCCAACAAAAAAGAAAGAACCTAGGTCCAACTCGGTGCTGCTCAATCCTGGCTACCTGTTAGAATCACCTAGTAGGGAGTTTTTAGAACACTAAAGCCCAGACTTCACCCCTAAAGTTAATCCAGAATCCCTGGGGTGGGGCCTTGGCCTCAGTGTGTGTGTGTAGAGAGAGAGAGATAGATATAGATACAGATATATATAGAGAGAGAGACAGAGAGAGACAGGGTCTCATTCTGTCACTCAAACTGGAGTGCAGTGACGTGATCTCGGCTCACTGCAACCTCCTCTTCCCGGGTTCAAGCGATTCTCGTGCCTCAGCCTTCCGAGTAACTGGGATTACAGGCGTGCGCCACTACACCCAGCTAGTTTTTGTATTTTTAGTAGAGACGGGGTTTCGCCAAGTTGCCCAGGCTGGTCTCAAACTCCTGACTTTAGGCGACCCGCCCGCCTCAGCCTCCCAAAGTGCTGGGATTACAGGTGTGAGCCACCGTGCCTGGCCAACATCATATATTATTGGTATATTTTTAATCTACGTGGCCTAGGGCAAGTCACCTGTGGGAATCAGAGCTTCCTTGCTGTAGAATGAAGAGTATTCACCCTGTGCTGTGGGAGTAATGGGGGCCGGGCACAGGGTAAACACGTGCCATTTGCTGTCCTGGTGCCTTCTGTTGTTGAATGGATAGTTCAGAACCTCCAGAAACTACCCTGAGAATCTTGGGCTTTGTAACAGCAGTGCCTCACCCAGGTCTCCGAGGTGACCACAGCCACTCACAGGGCCGCAGGCTAGGCCAGGTGCCCCTCCACCGAGGACCCAGACACCAGAAGCCTGGATTTGCCACCGCTTTCCATGCTGTGTTATAAACACAAACATGCGTCTGCCTCCTTGACTATAAGCTCTGATGAATTCGCCCCTGAGTCCCAGGCTCAGCACAAAGGCCAGCTCGATGCAGGGGCTCGGAGAACGAGTAAGTGAGTCAGTGAATGTGCCCGCAGCTGGTGTGATCAGATACTTGTGGGTTGTTTCAGGGCCATCTCTGGGGCAGGATGGTGTTTCTGAGAAGGGTCCCTGGACCACCCCACCCAGGAGCCATCACAGGCCAGGTTTCTGTCCCAGCATGCCTTGCAAGGAGTGCCTTGGAGTCACGTTTCCATAGAAATGAAAAGTAAAATACCAAAGTGCATCGCACACGTGTCAGGTCGCTTCTATTTCCTCATATTTTATTTTAGTTATATGTGAAAAATGGAGGTCTCAGCTGGGCACAGTGGATCACGCCTGTAATCCCAGCACCTTGGGAGGCCAAACTGGATGGATCACCTGAGGCCAGGAGTTCAAGACCAGCCTGGCCAACATGGTGAAACCCCATCACTACTAAAAGTACAAAAATAAGCCGTGCGTGGTGGCAGGCGCCTGTAATCCCAGCTACTCAGGAGGCCGAGGTGGGAGAATTGCTTGAACCTGGGAGGTGGAGGTTGCAGTGAGCCAAGATCATGCAATTGCACTCCAGCCTGGGTGACAAGAGCAAGACTCCATTTCAAAAAAAGAAAACAGGAAAGGTCTCTAGACAGCAAGAGGCACTGCATTGGTCTATTCCAGGAAGCGCTGCAACAGCACCAGGCCTGAGGGACAGGGACAGGTAGATAAATAGAAAAATGCTGCTTAGGAGCAGGGTGCAAGCCCACAGGATCAGATTGTCAAGTTTGGAGCTGAACTCCAGCCTAGGGGTATTTTTTGGGTTTTTGTTTTCTTTTGAGACAGGGTCTGGCTCTGTTGCTCAAGCTGGAGTGCACTGACCCGATCATTGCTCACTGCAGCCTCAAACTCCTGGGCTCAAGCAATCCTCCCTTCTCAGTCTCCCAAGTAGCTGGGACTACAGGCACACCTGGATAATTTGTGTTAAGAGAGGAGGTTGCTGTTGCGCAGGCTGTTCTCGAACCCCTGGGATCAAGCGATCCTTTCACTTTTGTTTCCTAAAGCGCTGGGTTTACGAGTGTGAGCCACTGTGGCTGGCCCCAGCCCAGGTTTTCCTACTCCACTGCCTTGCACCTGGCTCACCCTCCCCACCCCCCGCCCCCCCGTCTACGGAAGTCCATGATCTCTTCTGGTTCAGGAGCAGCGTGGCGGTGTGGCTTCTACACTGTGGTCCCATGTGGACACGTCTCAGAGCTGCCACTCCAAGAGACACTGACTTTGGCCTGTGACCATTGAGTGCATCCGTTGGAAGGATTTTGTTTGCAAGTGACATAGAACCGAACATAAACTGGCTAAACAAAAAGGGAATTCAACGAACCCCATCATTGAAGGGTCAGAATAGAAAGCGCTACCTTCAGGAATGGTTTGATCCAGAGGATGAAATGGCATTTCAGGACTGCTTATTTCTCTCCATATCTGGCTCTGTGTTGCCTCCTTGCTCGGCAGGTTCTCTCTTCGTAGTGGCAGGATGGTAGCTCCAGCCTCACATTCTCTCAGGCTAGCTGAAGGCTGGCTGGGGAAAAGAGGAATGTTTTCTCCTGGTAGCCCTTCCTCCAATATCAGAATTCCTTCATGCTGGTTGGGTCGTTATGATCCGTTCCGCATTCCTGCACTGCTGCTGGAGCCCCAGGGCACTGACTGGCCACATCTGCATCACAGGCTTCTGTCCTGGAAACAGAGTTCTGGAAAGTGTCAGGAAGGAGGCTGTTCCTCTAAAGGAAATCAAGGTACCTTTTTTTTTTGAGACGGAGTCTCACTCTGTTGCCCAGGCTGGAGTGCAATGACATCATCTTGGCTCACTGCAACCTCCACCTCCCAGGTTCAAGCAATCCTCATGCTTCAGCCTCTCAAGTAGCTGGAACCACAGGTGTGCACCACCATGACTGACTAATTTTTTTGTATTTTTAATAGAGATGGGGTTTCACCACGTTGGCCAGGCTGGTCTTGAACTCCTGACCTCAAGTGATCCATCCACCTCGGCCTCCCAAAGTGCTGGGATTACAGGTGTGAGCCACTGCACCTGGCCAAGGTGATATTTTTTAAAAGGAGGGGGCTGGATGCTGGGCGGCAATAATAATAATAATAATAATAATAATAATAATAATGTGTCCATTCCTCTGAGCGCCTGAAGTAACAGGTGCAGCCGAACGAGGGGTCCTTGGGGAGGACTGGTATTGTGTGGACCCACGTGAGCTGCAGCTGCATTTCCCAGCATGTTCTTCCCTGAGTAGTTCCCAGTTCGCATGGGTTGGGCCACAAGAGACATTCCCTGAGATTTGGGAGGCGGAAGTGATGCAGCAGCCATCTTCTCAGCATTCTGGAGGTCCAAAGCCTCCCTAATACTCTGAAAGACTGCATAAAACACCCATTCCATGATCTCACCTGAGGTGAAGGAGTTGGGGTATTGATCCACCAGTGCCACTTGGTAGGGGCTGTCCCAGAAGGTGTTGATCCCCTGGCATTTCTGATGACCATGAGGCGCGCACAGTTGCACACTGGAGCCTTACAGAATGCCCTCAGGAAAAAAGATGCAGAGATTTTAACTTGCAGGCTATGGGCAGGGCACCAGCAGTGCCTCCTACAGAGCACTGATTAAGTCGCTACTGAGAGCTCTACAGGTAACCCCTTCAAATCTTAGCAACAGCTTCAAGAGGCAATTAACAACATCCAAATTCACCCATGAGCCTCAGGTGCTTGTCCTCCCCTAGGAAGATGGAACAGCAGGGATTTGAACCCAGGATGTCTGAGCCACTACTTTCCCCAACAAAACTCCACAAATTCAGTGGGGTCATTCCAGGCCACCGCCAGGCCCTGCTAACTCCTCAAAGAAGAAAAGCCAGGGCCAGGCGCAGTGGCTCACACCTGTAATCCCAGCACTTTGGAAGGCCGAGGTGGGCGGATCACAAGTTCAGTAGATCGAGACCATCCTGGCTAACACGGTGAAACCCCGTCTCTACTAAAAAATACAAAAAAGTAGCTGGGCACGGTGGCGGGCGCCTGTAGTCCCAGCTACTCGGGAGGCTGAGGCAGGAGAATGGCGTGAACCTGGGAGGCAGAGCTTGTAGTGAGCCGAGATCGCGCCACTGCACTCCAGCCTGGGGGACAGAACGAGACTCCGTCTCAAAAAACAAAAAAAAAAAAGAAGAAGAAGAAAAGCCAGGCTGGGCACAGTGGCTCACGCCTGTAATCCCAGCATTTTGGGAGGCCAAGGTGGGTGGATCGCCTGAGGTCAGGAGTTCGAGACCAACCTGGCCAACATAGTAAACCCTGTCTCTACTGAAAATACAAAAATTACCTTGGCTTGGTGGCGGGCACCTGTAATCGCAGCTACTCAGGAGACTGAGGCAGGAGAATTGCTTGAACCTGGGAGGCTCAAAAGAAAAAAAAAAAAGAAGAAAAGCCGAGAGACCCCCGGACCACCTGCCTTTCCATGGTCACCCTCTGGGAGTCCCTGCTCCGGTACCCTTTGGGTGCCCACCGTGATCAACAGTCAAGTCCTCCCCTTCTGTGACAGTGGCTTTTTGCAGTCTCTTCTCAGGAATGTTTTTCTGCAGATACTAATGAATGACCCTTCAATTTCCCAGGAAGGGCTGCCTTTTTTTGAAGTGGTTTAAGATCTCTGCTCTTGATTGCAATCTTCCAAGAGCTGATTTTGGCCACTTGGCTCTCATTTCTGAAGTGATGATGGGGAGGAGAGGGGAGGAAAGCAAGTGGAAGAAAAGTGTGTGGGCTCAGCTATCTGTAGGAATTGCAATCCCAGGAGACAATTGAGAATTCTAAAAATAGAGAAAAGAACTGTTTTCTTTTCAGCTCTGTGAACAAGTTATCCCTGGTTTGTATCCCAATATCCGCCACACTCATCTTGCACAAATCATGACTTCTCATGTAAAGGTTTGCTACTTTTTCCTGGTGGTTTTTCATAATTTCAAACAAAATTATTTCTAGAAGACTCATCCCTTATTTTAATATTAAAGTCTGTAGGATGGCTGAGCGTGGTGGTTCACACTTGTAATCCCAGCACTTTGGGAGGCCAAGGCAGGCAGATCATTTGAAGCCAGGAGTTCAAGACCAGTATGGCCAACATGATGAAACCCCATCTCTACTAAAAACAAAAACTAAAAAATTAGCTGAGCATGGTGGCACACACCTATAATCCCAGGTACTCAGGAAGCTAAGGCATGAAAATTGCTTGAACCTGGGAGGTGGAGGTTGCAGTGAGGCTGGATTGAAGGACCATGTTATCAGCTGGGCAAGAGTGATTTTGTCAAAATAAAATAAAATAAGAAAGAAAGGAAGGAAGGAAGGAAGGAAGGAAGGAAGGAAGGAAGGAAGGAAGGAAGGAAGGAAGGAAGGAAAAGGAAAGGAAAAAGAAAAAGAAAAAAGGCTATAGGAAGCTGGCTATGGTGTGCCCCTGTGGTCCCCACTACTCAGGAGGCTGAGGTGGGAGGATTGCTTGAGCCCAGGAGTTCCAGGCTGAAGTGAGCCATGACTGTGCCACTGCACTACAGCCTGGGTGAGAGAATGAGACCCTATCTCTAAAAAAAAAAAAAAAAAAAAAATTTAAGTCTATTAGAAAATGTGACTTGAGTTGGACAATTTCATAGCACATGTAATTTTTAAGAAGTCCTTGCTTCTAAATGGCATAGACCTAGATAAAGGCATAATTGAAAAATGGAAAATAAAAGAATATATCAACCAAAAATCTCACTGTGTATTTCTAGTTTTACTTTTAAAAAAAATGTATTATCCAACATAGAAGTTAAGAACTTAAAAACTTATTTTCATCGAAACACTGCCTTAAGTGAGAGAAAAGTCAAGCCATAGAGTGGGACAAGATATTTACAATATACATATCCAACAATCAATTCATATCCAGAACCTATTTTTTAAAGTCTTACAAATCAATAAGGAAAAAGCAGATAATGGAAAAATGAGCAAAAAGATCCAAATGGCCAATAAACATAGGAAGAGAAGCTCAACCTCATTTGTCATTAAAGAAATTCTAGTTAATCACCTGTCAACTCAAAAAAATAAAAAATAAAAAGGAATTATAACCAAAACCACAGTACATTATTATAAACTCATAAAAATAGCTAAAACAAAAAGGAAAAACAATGCAAGGGCTAGCAAGAATTTGGAGCAACTGGAAGTCTCATACCCTGTGGGTGGACTGGCAAATTGGTACAACCACTTTGGAAAACTATGGCACTGTCTATGAGAGCAAAGACATGCTTTTCCTCTGGGCCAGGAATTCTGCTCTCAGATATTTACCCATCAGAAACAGGTCCCTATGTTCATCCAAAGACATGGGCCAGAATGTTCCTAGAGCATTACTAGTCGTGTCCCATGTAAAGTGCCTGGATGTTCAGCCTGGACATCTAGACAAATGGAGTGTAGTTCATTTATGAATAGAAATTGATAATGGAATATTCACAAACAGAAATCCATACAGCCATGTGAATGAACAACCTATTACCTCCCCAACAATGTGGACAGTTCTCACAAACATAGCATGGAGAGAAAGAAGACAGACACACAAAATACACACTCGATGGTCCCATCCACATAAAGTTCAAAAATGGATGGCATTGATTCGTGGTAAAGGGAGGCAGACAGTGGTAATCCCCGGGGAGCTGATGCTGGCGAGGGTGCCTGAGGGAGGCCTCCTGGGCGGGTCAGGAGGCTCTGTTTCTTCCTCTGTGCATGGATCTATGCACATTTTAAAGATAAATAAGTACAAATCTGTACTGTCTTTAAGGCCTCTTCTGCTAACCTGGAAACCCAGCTGGGTTAGCCTGGAGGGGTGCAAGAAAAGGAACCCTAACTTGCAATTCAAAGCCAGGAATCACACTCATAGCCACCCCGTGTCTGACCCTAGTGGAGAGGCTGTGGCTTTAGGTCCTTAGCAGCTCATCTTGGGGAAGAGACCTTGTTGTCCTGTGTCCCAGCTGTCTTGTTACACCTGGGCACTCACACAGCTCCTGGTACAGCTCAGTTTGTTCCCTAGGTCAGAGCTTTGGTGACTGTCACCCAGGCCCCGGTCCGAGTTCTGGCCTCATGGCACTAATCCCCCACATAGCCAATAGCTAGCCGTGCGGCCTAGAGCCAGTTAGAAATGTGGCTTAAGGTGATCTGAATCCTTCCAGAACGTTAGCCCTGCCCCCTGTAGAGTCCCTGAGAAAGAGAAAAGCCCCATGAGTGACAAGGAAGGCAAAGTATCTCCTCGCTGTGTGCTGGAGTGATGCCCCAGGCCCTGGCGCAGAGAGCTCTGATCCACCAGGCTACAAGACCTAGGGCCCGGTGGAGGCCAGGGCAAGTGCCTGCCTGGGGTGTGAGTGTCTTTCGCACCATGCAGGTTTCCCTTCAGGTCCTGGGGAACTGTCAACAGAGCGGAGGAGCTCCTATTCACCCACAGACACACACACATCCCGTCACGCACACACAAGTGCACGCCCACGCACATCTGCAGGCATAGATACAGGTCTGCTGATACACACATGCACACACATACACAAATATCCTTTACAGTAGACACACACGTGCTCAGTCACCCATGCAAGGGTGCGCATGCACACACATGTACTTAAGAGATGCACACACACTCATGTAGCACTTGCCGGGCACTATTCTGAGCACTCTCCATGTATTAACTAATTTAATCCTTATAACCACTCCATGAGGTCCAGATATCAGTCCCACTTTGCAGATAAGAAAATTGAGGCCCAGAGAGGTTAAGTCATTTGCTCAGAGTAATGGGTTTGAAGCCTGGCAGCTTGGCCTTAGAGTATGTACTTTTTTTTTTTTTAAATCTGGCTCTGTCACCCAGGCTAGAGTGCAGTGGCACCACCTCAGCTTATTGTAATCTCCAACTCCCAGGTTCAGATTCTCCCACCTCAGCCTCCCGAGTAGCTGGGACTACAGGAGCCACCAACACGCCCTGCTAATTTTTGTATTTTTAGTAGAGGCAAGGTTTCACCATGCTTGCCAAGTGAAACTCCTGACCTCAAGTGACCCACCTGCCTCGGCCTCCCAAACTGCTGGGATTACAGGCATGAGCCACTCACGCCTGGCTGAGTATGTGGTTTTCTATGCGAATCTCCATTCACAGACAAATGCGCAAAGACGCTTGGGTCCCTGGACACACACACACTCCCACATGCATGCACACACATACACAGACACATGCACACTTGCCATGAACCCTCCCACACACGCAAGCACACACGCTTCTTTCTGCTGCCTCTCGCCTCACTTCCTGGCCTCTCTGCCTCCCCCTGACTGCTGGTAGAAGGAGTGAGAGCCCCTCTCCCCTCTGCCTTGCCGGGCAGTGGGACTCCTGGCTCTGTGTCTGAAACAAACAAACCCAGCGCCAGCACTGTCTTCCTCCTTGTCTTAAACAAACCCGGTGCCAGCACTGTCTTCCTCGTGCCCTGTAAGTGGGAGGGAAGCCCCAGCTCATCCAGCTCCATTGGCTGCCCTGGTCCCCTCATCACCTTGTGAGACAAATAAGACCTGTTCTCCGTGTTCAATGGGGAAACGGAGGCCCGGAGGGAAAAACGAGTGGCCCAGAGTCAACCTGAGTCGTGGCAGGGCTGGGCTGTGGGTAGGCAGGCCCCTGGTCCCAGGCCAGGCTCTCCTAGGGCTCAGACGATACCTTTGAAGAGCCGAGCAGGAGTCGGTGCAGCCCGGAGAAGTGGGCCACCCTGTGACCCTTTGGCCTCACGCACTAAAGCCTTCCCCGGGAGCCCAGAAAGATAAGTGCCTTGCTACCTGGCAAGGCCCCAGTGGGAGTGGTGGCATTCTGAAGGGGTTGTCACAACTCTGAGCAGTCATGCTAAAAAAGCCCCAGGTCAGGGGCTGAGGGACGGCCTCCTGCCCAACGGGCCCCTCTGCCACATCCCTCCTTTTCTAAGAGTTCGCCAGGGTCTGGCCCCACAGGAAGGCTTTCCATCTCACACCAGTCCAACCCCAAGTGGCGCAGCGGCCTGCACAGTGGCTGCAGCCATACATCTCAGCTTCCGCTCCTGAGTCCTGGACGTCTCCCACATCCTTTGTGTGGCTGGAGGTTTTATGAGAAACCCAAAAAATAAAAATGAAAAAAATGAAAAAAAAAAAATTACTCGGGAATTTGTTTTTAATTAAGCAATAAGGCTCGATGGGGCTTGGCTGCTGCCTCGTAAAGCCGCTCCCGGGGTGTGGGGAGGCATTTGGTCCAGATGAGTGCCTCAAATCAGCCCGGAATGTGATGAGATGATTACTCCCCGGAGTTCGTACAAGATGAGTTTCCCCAGTGCTGTCTTATTGCTATTATAAAAAGT